CCACGGAAATAAATGAGCTTTGTTCCAGCATCTGAATGGACTTTACTCATTTATCAAAGGACTTTCTTCTGGCCTTTAATGTTTCTGAAATAATGTGTCTCGTCTTTGAGTGCCCCACGCCAAGAAAAGCTGTCAGCCTCTCCAGCAATTATCATATCCCAGAGGGAACTTGGTTAATGATTTCTCTGCAGACAACTTGGTCTTTCAGTTTTCGTGCTCTGCCAGAACCATTCCAACCCAGTGAAGCATTTTAGGATGGGGTTTGATTCTTAATGTCCAAGGAATGTTCTGGAAATGCAGTTTTTCACTGCCACCTCTCGATGCTGAGCCTGCACCTTAGGAAATTCAAATTACAGGGAGCAGCAATAAGGTAAAGCAACACCCAGAGAGAGGGAAGGTGGCTTTCCCAGCTTGTGGTTCTGAAATTCAGACGTGTACATGCAACAGGTTGGTGTTTTTGATGTTGGGGACAGCACAGGGGACAGCACAGGCTGTGCCAGGTTGTGCCCTGAGCATCCCTGAAATTCCGTTCTTGGTTTGTATTCAAGCTTTGTTCAGCTGCTCTTGGAAAATCATGGAGTGGTTTGGCTTGGAAGGGACTTTAAAGCTCATCCTGTTCCCCCCCCTGCCATGGGCAGGGACACCTTCCACTGGACCAGGTGGTTCCAACCTGGCCTTGGACACTTCCAGGGATGGGGCAGCCACAGCTTCTCTGGGAATTCCATCCCAGGCCCTCCCCACCCTCCTAGGGAAGAATTCCTTCCCAATATCCCATTTATCCCTGCCCTGTGGCAGTGGGAAGAGACTCCCCCTTGTCCTGGCACTGGGTGCTCTTGTAAAAAGTGAGTTGGGATGTCTTGGCTGGATGGAGGAGCTCAGAAACCCCCTGAGCCACGGATGTGACACAGGGTAGGGATAAATCCTGTGCTCCTGAGTTTTTCCAGGCAGGCCACAGATGCCAGGGCACTTCAGCACAGAGAGAACATCACTGTGTGAGTAAAGAGACCCAATTTTCCCCGTGTTTGACGGGGGCCAGCCCATCCATGTCTTTGTGCTCACGTTTCCCCCTTCATATTAACATAAAATTCCCTTTGCAAAGGGATCCTTGTGAAATCCTCGTGCTCTTCACACCATCCTTTTCTCCTTGCCTTTGCTGAGGCAAATCCCCAGGCAGGGATTGTCTTTTCTCAGGGTGCTCTGAGTGCTGAAGGCAGCGAGTGCTTGTGGCACTCAGCACTTTTGTGCAGCAGCATGAAAGAGGCTTTAAATTAGGGCAGTTCTGCCACTCTCCTGTGCAGTTCCAGCTCTCCATTCATCACTTCACCTTTTTGTGGTGCTGTTACTGCTGGAAGTCACTTGCCAAGAGTGTGAGGATGTGAAGAAAACCTCATGATGTGACTCCACTCGGTTTCTCCCTTTTGTCCATTTTATTCTGCCCTGTGTGGGTTTTATCAGTGATAAAATTAACTCATTTCCACGGATTGCTAAACAGTTTACCTGCAGATAAGTGTCCAGGTTATTCTACTCTGCATGTCCCTACAACTGATACTTCAAGAACTAATTAATGCTCATTACAGGGTCAGAGTGAAGAGCTGCTGCATGGAGACCAAATGTGTGACTCCAACTGCCCTGCTTCATTTCTCAGGTGGTGTTTGGGTAACTCCAGTGTTTCTCCACCTTTGTAGGACCAAGAATGAGCTGTATTCTGAGGAATTTTCATATTGATCCTGGGTTTATGAATTTCAGAGGAGGGTCACTCTTATTTTCAAAGTAATTTGTGTGGTTCACAGTGAAAATAGGCACCCTGTGGGATTGTTAAACACACAGGTTATCAGATCCCAGTGATTTTTCAGCAAAATGTGGTTATTTCCATGCTTAGAGCTTGGGCAAAAAAATTGCTGGTTTACTATGTCACCATCCAGGAATTGTGCTATGTAGCTGTAAACTCAAACTGAAATATAACTTACATGCCCCTATAATCTTTTTATGATAACAAAATTGATGGGAATCTGATCTGTCTGATTGGGAATTCTGGGATTTTAAACAAGACCTGTGTGCCAGACGTTATAGAGGCTCAATGGGACTCACAGAGACAATAAGTTTCTGTGTCTAGTCCCAAAATCAAAGTGATTTGGGGGGGTCTGAGTTCTCAGTGCACTGGCTGGTGCAGCTTTATTCAGGATAACACACTTTCTGGAGGAAGAAATTCCTCAGGAATAGAGCTCTGGAGTCCTGTAGGCACATGGAAATGTTTCAGTTCCAGTGCAACAGAAATAGTGCAGTTTGCTGTGGCTGGGCATTGCTCAGGATCTGACACTTGAGTTTCACAGATGGAAATAAAACCTTTTTAAAATTCCCTCCTTTTCTTTCAGGGTCCACGAAAGGAGCACAAAGGCAGAGGGAGGACCATGCAGACACCCTGTGAAGCACCCAAAAAGGAGAATACAAAGGAGGATGTCTTTTAGAGGTTTAGTGACTCTTTTGGGGTGCTTGAGTTTCCTTATGGGTGACAAATCACCTTTGCTTTGATACCTGAGGCCAGTCAGAGACTCAGCAGATGTCTTTGAGATGTCTTTGACAGAATTCCTGCGAGCAGGACTGGAAATACAAACCCCAAATAACTGCAGGCACTGCTGAGTGTGTCCTCAAGTGCCTGTGGAAAGGGGAAACACTCGGACATGGATGTTCAGGGTCTGCTTGTTGCCCATGTCTTGAGGGGTTGTTGTAAGAGTCAGGTCTGTCTGGCAGGAAACTTGAGCTTTTGGGAGTGACCTTTCCCAGCTCTGAATGTTTGGAGGTTTAGCTCTGCCTGCAGGATTTATTCTTGCCTGGGTCCCCTCCCAGCCTCCGTCTCGCTGGCAGATCATTCCCTCCCGTCCCTCCCCAGCTCCCGTGGCCATCTGAGCATCCCCAGGGCTGTGCCAGGAGATGAATGAGCTGCCTTTCAGCCCAGCCCTGGAAGCCACTGCCTGCATTTCAGCAAAGTGCAGGACGTGTCAGCACAATCACTTCCAGGCTTTGCTCCGGCTGGAGCCTCTCTCAGCACCGGCTGCAGCTCCTGGGCAGCGATGCCGTGGCAATTAATATTTATAAACCCTCGATAATACAGCACTTGTGTGTACCTGGGAGACCATCTGTTGGCCTCCAATCCCCGACCAAGCACCTGAGATCAGTGTGGCCGGTCCCAGAAGGGGAAGGAGGTGGGGCTGTGCCCCTGGAGAGCCTCGGATTCCTCCCTCCTTCATTAGTTACCAGAGCACATCACCCTCATCCTCCAGGGCCAAGCTGCAGGCTTATTCCTTTCCTTTTAGTCTGGAGTCTTTTATCACTGTGCTGTGCATTTATTACAGGCCTTCACTTAGTTGTGACCTTGGCTTTGGTGGTTTTCCACGTTTTGGTACAAAGGCCTTGTCTTGGGTGTGGTTTGCAGGGAGAGAAGGCTCCGAGATTATTATTTTTGAAATGTATTTTTATTTAGTGCTTTTAGTGTTTTGGGGATTTTTTTTTTTTTGTTTGTTTTGTTTTGTTTTGTTTTGAATCTTGCAAAGGTGCTTAGTGGCCGTTTGGACACAGATGCTTCTCAATTAACAATTAATGTATGCATGTGCAAAGATGCAGATCAATGAATAATGCATAGCAATAACCAGCTTGGCCGTGGGGTTTGGGCTGCAGGAATATTACATATGGATTAGCCCAAAGGCCCCCAGATCACACTTGAATAACGTGTATCAGGTGGAGGCAGCCCCGCTAAACCCGCTGTGTGCTGCACCTCTTACCTTTGTGATGAAAATGCCTCTGCTCCCCCATCCCGAGGGTCCCCCGGGGTCCGGGGGGCTCTGCCCAAAGCAGCCCCTCGGGAATGACCACAGCCCTCCCCCCGCCTGGAGCGGCTCGTTTAGGGACAAACCCCAGGGACGAGGTAAAAGAGGAGCCCAGACAGGCGGAGCTGGGGTGG